TGCAATGGCGCGATCTCGGCTCACCGCAACCTCCGCCTCCTGGGTTCAGGCAATTCTCCTGCCTCAGCCTCCTGAGTAGCTGGGATTACAGGCACGCACCACCATGCCCAGCTGATTTTTTGTATTTTTAGTAGAGATGGGGTTTCACCATGTTGACCAGGATGGTCTCGATCTCTTGCATCGTGATCCACCCGCCTCGGCCTCCCAAAGTGCTGGGATTACAGGCTTGAGCCACCGCGCCCGGCCGATAAAATCTTTTAATTGTCATATTAAATAATGCCTTTTTGCGTAGATCATTTGAGGTCAAGAGTTCGAGACCGGCCTGGCCAACATGGTGAAACTCTGTCTCTACTAAAAATATAAAAAATTGGATAGGGCATGGTGGCACATACCTGTATTCCCAGCTACTGGGGAGACTGAGGCATGAGAATTGCTTGAACCCAGGAGTTGGAGGTTACAGTGAGCTGAGATTGCACCACTGCACTCCAGCCTGGGTGACAGAGTGAAACTGTGTCTCAAAAAAATCAAACAAATAGGCTGGGTATGGTGGCTCACACCTGTAATCCCAGCACTTTGGGAGGCCAAGGAGGTTGATTAGGTGAAGTCAGGAGTTCAAGACCAGCCTGGCTAATAAGGTGAAACCCAATCTCTACTACAAAAATTAGCCAGATGTGATGGCACGCGCCTGTAGTCCCGGCTGCTTGGGAGGCTGAGGCATGAGAATCACTTGAACCCAGGAGGCAGAGGTTGCTAAGAGCCAAGATTGTCCCACTACACTCTAGCCTGGGCGACAGAGACTCCATCTCAAAAAAATAAAATAAAAAAGAGGATACAGAATGACTCAGGGGAATGTCTTTGTAAAGTACAAGAAGTGGGACTGCAGTTCATTGAATCTAAAACCCCATTAATTGTAGGATGTACCAGCATTTTATAGGCTAATAAGAAAGGAAAACACTGATATTTAGACTATGGTAATGCTCTCTTCTCACTTTGAAATGTTATACCTGGACGAATGCCAGGAAAAGGAAGCGGCTGAGAAATCGAAACTAGTGGGGAAGGGGAGGGCCCACTGAGAACCATCCCAGAAACCCGACCACAGCTGGTGTTCCCTGGGCAGCATGAACCACACTGTCCAAACCTTCTTCACTCCTGCCAACACCGACCGTACCCCCAACTATGAGATGCTGAAGGAGGAGCATGAGGTGGCTGTGCTGGGGGCGCCCTATAACCCTGCTCCCCCGACCATGTCTTCTGGTCCCTGCTCAACACCCTCTTCATGAACTCCTGCTGCCAGGGCTTCATAGCATTCGCCTACTCCATGAAGTCTAGGGACAGGAAGATGGTTGGCAACCTGATCGGGGCCCAGGCCTGTGCCTCCACCTCCCAGTGCCTGAACATCTGGGCCCTGATTTGGGGCATCATCATGACCATTCTGCTGATCATCATCCCAATACTGATTTTCCAAGCCTATCAATAGATCAGGAGGAATCATCTAGGCCGGGGGACTCTGCCCATGACCTGTTTTCCACGTACCCAACCTTCCATTCCTTGCCCTGCCCTCGAGCCAAGTCCTGTATCAGCCCTTTATTCTCACGCACTTTTCTACAATGGTGTTCAATAAAGTGCATGTATTCCTGGTAAAAAAAAAAATAAATAAATAGAAGAAATGTTATACCTACTGAAAGAGCTTTAAAACACTTAAATACGTTTTTTTTAACCTTATAAAATACATAGCTTAAAGTATTTTAAAACCACCTTTGTAGTCTTAGTGCCTCACACAAATCACACCTTGAGTCAGAGTCAATAAGCTTTTTTTTTTTTTTTTTTTTTTTTTTTTTTTCATAAACTGTTGTCTCAGGTTCATCAAGAGCCTTGGTGAAGCAGCAGCTCCTAAAAACTCCTCCACTCTTATCTCAGAAATTTTCTTCTAAGTCACTGACATCCATTCTTCAAGTTTTCATGCTGGCCCTTTCTTGCTATTACCAGAAGGTGTCAGGCAAAGACAACCACAGCAAGACTGCCATTTGGCCAACACAGAGGGTAACATGCATCTGCATTTCAGAAATATTGGCTGGGCGGGGAAAGGAGCATCTCAGAATCAATGAAGTATAGTAGTGTGAAGGGAGAGGTAGGAAAAGAGACCTATGTGAAGCGAGGGCAGAGCACAGGCTAGACAAACCCACATGAAGCTGGAAAGAAGGCTGGACCCAATGGCTCATGCCTGTAATCCTAGCATTTTGGGAGGCTAGGGCCTAGAATAAATGTTTGATAATATGGTTTGATAAAATATGTATTAATTGTCATACTAAATAATGACTTCGTGGGCAGATCATTTGAGGTTGGGAGTTTGAGACCAGCCTGGCCAACATGGTGAAACCCTGTCTCTACTA